TTAATTTTCACCCTAAAATTTTTTTAATAATAAAAAAGAACTCACATTGTCCAAATGAAAGTTATGAACAATTATTATCTAATTGTTTTGTTCGTAATAATGTATAGTAATACTAGTTCGATCATAATTAATCAAAAAAGGTTGTGTATGGGTAACCAACTCTAAAGGTTCAGTTTACTGGATTTAATGAGATTTAAATTGTCATTAAATTATCCTAATCTTTTCCCATTATAATAATAATCGTTCACGAATTAAAAAAGACATAAATTCAATATATTCATATGAATAACAAAATTGTTAAATTTATGTTAATATTTTCTACCTTCAAGTGAAATTTTTAGTGACTTAATTTGTACCTTTTTATTAATAGACAAAAATTCTTTGAAAAATAAGAAGAACGAAATGTGCACAAAATATTTTTACGTAAGAGTTATTTCCGACTTCAATAATAATATCACATTAATTATCATTATTATCCAAAATTTCAATAATAGATTATTTATTATTCATTTTTCTTTTTTAAAAAAAAATGTACTTATGAAAGAAAAAAATTGAATTGAAAATCAGGAAAATCTTCATTTTGTAATAAGAACTTTAAATTAATAAAAGGATTTTTAAAAAAAGGTTACAATTTAAATTTACTACGTGTATCTTAAATCCCTTTCATCTTATTTATTTATTTATTTTTTTTTTTTGTAAAAAGAATTGATCAAGGATTGAGATTAAATCGTGAATACGACTTTATTAACTAATTTTCATTTTCACTATTATTAATCAAATGCTTGCATTCCTATTTTTAAATACAGACAGAACTTGAGCAATATAATATCACTCCGGTTTTCAACCATTTTAACCATTTCAAAATCGGTAAACATCAATTTTAAACTTAAAAATGAATTACGATCATGTGTAGTTACTCTCTATCACGTGATAATATAACATTAGTTAACAGAATGCGGTATTTATATGATAGTGATTCAAATTCTTTAATATGATATTATAAAGTGTACGCATAAGAGTCTCCTTCCAAGATCAAATGATCAAAGAAATTATACTAGAGAAACGAAAACCATTAAAGTCCGTCACGTTTATTTACTCAGTATCTTTTTTTTATTAAAACATAACAAACAAAAAATTAATTACGAAAAATAGCAATTTTTATAATAACAGGTAATAAAGTAAGCAATTTTACGAAATCATTAGTAAAAAAAAAGGAGGTATAATCAAAGCAAGGGCAATATATGAGGTAACGTCAGCGGGCGAAAGGAAGGAAATTGCATGGGCTACCACAAAATCGTCTGATGCAGTACAGTAGAATGTCCTTTGTACAAAATTTGAACATTCTATAGAATAATTATTCATAATTCTAAAAAACACGATTGGTTGATAAATTAAACAAAAATGTAATGATTGTGTTTAAAGGGAGAAATACATATGGAGGTATGATGTCGAATTTGACTGATTTATTATTATCTTAAAAAATTAAAAATTTATCTTTTTCTGTAACTTACAAATTTGAATCAACCCTAAATTAACTTTGATAACCCAAAAAAGTAGTATTAACCAGAGAATATACTGACACATATAGTAACAAAAGCTAATTTCTCATTTTTTTTTGGAGAGAGGGAATGAGAAAAAATTAGTGATGATTATGATTTATTATTTACGAGATATCATTAAATTAACTTTGAGTAGAATAAATTTTCAAACTAATTTCGAGAACATTTCTTTCTTGGAACTACAAAATATTGTACAGATTTGCTGTCTGCAAGTTATTATGATATTACAAACTCTCCTTAATTCTGATCTCGTTTATTATCTCCAAATGAATGAAACTCAAGTCTGGGAACATTAAAAGTTAAGAGCTCTCACTTATGCAAGTAATGCAAGTAACTTCTTATATTTATAGGGAACTCTTCTCTATATAAACTTCTTAACTCAGAAACTCTAATCATGAATTTTGTAACTTTAATTTGCGATTATTGTATAATAATAAGTTAAAATTCCAAAAGATTTTAAGAAGAAGAAATGATCAGTAATTAATCGATTTATATATATATATATTTTTTTTTGAAATTCAAAAATTGGCTATAAGATTATGAAAAATTAGAAAACTAATAAAGACTTTTTTTAAAGAAATATTAAAATATTCATTCAGCTAATAATTATAGTAGTCGATCTTATAAGTAGATGATATAATAATTAATCAAGAAAATCAAAAAGTAAAAAAAAAAAGGGTAAAAATATAAATTATTTTTTAAATAAATTAGTTAATTTTTTAATATCACGTTTTGGTTTTAATTTTTTTTACTTTTTATGAATTAAGTGAAAAGTTTAAAATTTTAATGATACTGAGTTACTGAGGTACTATGTAATAAAGCTTAATATATTAGACAAAAAAATAAATAAGATAAAGATCAAAATGTTATATGTATATAGGAAAAAACATGATGAATTTGAGAATCCTACGATTCTTATGCAATCTTAAAATTCTTTAAGATAATGGTTTGAGGTGCAGGACGAGATAATCGTCATATTTAGAGCAAAATTTATTTGAATTATTTAAACATCAAAGACTTGAACTGAACGTATAGTGAATAGTTATGTTTGAAATTTAAATAATTCTTTTTTTATAAAATATTTAAAATAGTTTGATAAATTTTAATTTTAATTTTAGTTGAACATTATATGAAAAAAAAAAAAAAATATTTTAAATTAAACTATATCTGATATAAATTAAATTAGTAATACATGTTGATATATCTTACCGTAGTATATTTGATATGAAACAATTTTAATAACTATGAAACATTACTTGAATTGTTTAAACATACGACAAAATACAAATCTTATTAGGACAAACTATTTTTCACCAAATCACATTAGAAGAAATGTTTATTATTTTTATTAATTAAAAGTATATTTAATTCATTTTTGTAATGATTTAAATATTTGAATTTAGAGTAATAATTTTTATTAACAGAATTTATAATGAAAAAAAAATCGACCTTACGATTATTAAAAAAATATAATGTTTTTCTTTTAAATATACTCATTCCTAAATACATTAAATTTCTGAAACACAAAGTTATAGCCTAATAAGTTAGAACTAATTGTTATTTAAAGAATATCAAAATTGTAAATTCTAATCGTTAATGATCGTCCTTTCCGGGTAATATGAAGGGGGTCGAAAAGGGTGTACAAAGTTTTTGGCGTAATTTATGAAACCATACATAATTTAATCATCCAACCGTATTGACAAGGTGTGACCGTATTCACTGTAGTACCGAATACTGATATAAATACAATTACCAATTTTAATTTTAATATTTACATAGAAATTTTCCTTTCAAGAATGTCTTCAAATAACATTACAAAAGATGATGAGAATTTCTTAAAAAATTTTTTAAAAGATTTTTACCGTCAAATTATAAATTTGGAGAATTATACTAAATATAAAAATATTTTATCAGAATGGATACAAGAATTTCTAATTGATAATGAAAAAAATCCTGAAATAATTTTAAAATTAATGGAAGAAAATGAAAATTGGTTTTCAAGTTTGATAGGATTTTTTTATGAATTTGGTATAGTACATAATACCATTGATAAAAATAAATCTTTTGATTTATATTTATTATCAATTAATAAATATGAATAAAATGAAGATAAAAAATTAACTTCCATGTATCAATTACTTAATATCATTATTTCAAAATATTTATTATCATTCTATTATTATAAGGATATTTTATATAATAAATATTCAATTTCAAAGGAATTTAAAACTTTGGAATATGCACATGTAATGTCTTATTATCAGTTCGAATATTTTAATGGATTAAAAATAAATTTATGCAAAGATGAATTGAATACTATGGAAAAATATTTTGAATTATTAGATAAAAGTTCTATTATATTTAATAAGAAAGAGTTAGTAAAATTAAATAAGCTTAATTATTATTGTTATCAATATGGTCAATATGGAATAGAAAGAAAGAAAGATGAATTAAAAGCATTTGAATTTTATCTGAAATCAGCAGAAGAAGAAAATTTAAATGCACAGAATAATTTAGGTTATTGTTATCAAAATGGAATTGGAATAGAAAAAAATGAAAAAAAAGCGTTTGAATGGTATTTAAAAGCTGCTGGTAAAGGAGATATATATGCACAATATAATTTAGGTATTTGTTACCAAAATGGAATAGGAATTAATAAAGATGATAAGAAAGCTTTTGAATGGTATTTTAACTCTGCTAAAGAATATTCACAAGCACAAAATATATTAGGTAATTGTTATCAAAATGAAATTGGAGTAAAAAAAGATTTAGAAGAATCCATTTATTGGTATAAAAAAGCAGTAGAAAATGGAAATAAATTTGCACAATATAATTTAGGTAAATGTTATGAAAATGGAAAAGGAGTAAAAAAAGATGAAATTAAAGCTTTTAAATTATATAAAAAATCAGCTGAACAAGAATTTGAAGATGCACAATTTCAACTTGGAAAATGTTATGACCAAGGAATTGGAACTAAAATTAATAGAACAAAAGCATTTGAAATGTATAAAATAGCAGCAGAAAAAGAGCATGATATTGCACAAAATAATTTAGGATCACTATTTGAGTATGGTAAAGGTACGAAAAAAGATAATAAACAAGCATTTTATTGGTATAATAAAGCAGCAAATAATGGTAATAAAGTAGCACAATATAATCTTGGAGAATGCTATAAATATGGATTTGGAGTTGATAAGGATGAAATCAAATCTTTTGAATATTTTAAAAAATCATCTGATCAAGGTTATTTAGATGGTCAATTTCAACTTGGATATTGTTATGACCAGGGATTTGGAACTAAAGTAGATAAAACAAAAGCATTTGAGCTATTCAAAATAGCTGCAGATAATGGAGATGAAGTAGCACAATATAATTTGGGAGAATACTATGAATTAGGACTTGGTGTAAAGAAGGATGAAAGTAAAGCATTTGAATATTATAAAAAATCAGCTAAAAATGGATATTTAGAAGCAAATTTTATACTTGGATATTACTATGTAAATGGAATTGGAACTGAAATTAATAAAGAAAAAGGATTTGAATTATATAATGAGGCAACTGGTAAAAGTAGTAATGTTGAAAATATTTTATGTAAAAATGAGGATGAAATAGATGATTATTTGGGTAAAGTTAATTATTGGTATCATAAATCTGCAGAAAATGACAATAAACTTGCATTGTATAAATTAGGAGAATATCATGAATTAGGAAAAGGCATTTGTAAAAATGTAATGCGAGCAATTGAATTTTATGAAAAATCAGCCAACCAAGGATTTATAGATGCTTATTATAAGCTTGGATATTTTTATAGTAATGGAATTCAATATGATGTTAATAAAGAGAAAGCATTTGACTTATATAAAATAGCTGCAGAAGGAGGAAATGTTGAAGCACAAAGAAAGCTTGCAATTTTATATTTAGATGGTGAAGGAACTGAAGAAAATATTGAATTGGCTAAGTATTGGTATAATGTGGCTAAAGTAAACGAGGACTTTTGTTAATATCGCTTTTTATCATTATGCAATGATGACAAATATATACTTATTTTGCTTGAGAATTTTAAAAAATGTAATAAAAAATTTTTTTGGTTATCTAGAATAAAGAAAGCCCAAAATTTCGATATAGTTCAATGTATTTGATATCAACTAATTTAAGTTACGTAAATTAAAGAAATGATTGCAATTAACATATTAAACAATTACATTAATGAATCTTGCAAGAAATGCTATAATTTATGTGAATTATGGCTTTGTCATTTTCATGCGCCTTATTTGTTTGTTTTCTTTAATACTTCTAAAATTATTAATTTTACTTTAAATTCGCTAAATTTGGGCTGAAATTAATATAAAGTAAAAAATGAATCATATTATCATTAATCAACCAATCAATTTTCAGTTTAGTGTGAAAATGTAAAAAATTGCAGTCACTCAAAAAATATGAAGAATTATCAAAAAGTGCGGAAAAAACTGTAGTCATTCCTTCCTGAACTTGGAATGGAAAACGATTCACCCAGTCTATTTCAGTTCTGGATTGATATTATTGAATGGACTGACTTGAGACATATCAAATAGAATGAGCCAGTTCAGTTCCATAATCATAGAAAGATCAGAAAGACAATATGCAGCCCATTAAAATTACCCCTCCAAGATGAATCTAAAAGTAGTAGTTTCAAATTTTTAGACATGATAGATGTTAAGAAAATAAGCAAAACATCAAATAGTATATAATTCAAAATTAATATAGTATCTTAACCAGTTTGGCACTTAATAATATATTACAAAGTTTCAAATATTTTTTTAAAATACCTTTTTTTTATGACTATTAGGCATTTTTTTCACTTTATTGTTAGATGATTTGTATCAGTCTTCTTTGGTTGGTACTTTTAAATGTATATTACCATTTTTTAATCTGCTGAGAAGTTTTTATTAGGCGACATAAAGTTAAAAAATTGGTTCTCATATCCCGGCCGGGTCACCAGAGCGGGAATCTTAAATTTTTTTTTTTTTTTTTTTTTAACCAATTAAATTGCTCTAAAC